TGTGATGTAGCCCCTATGCTTATTGGACACTTGTTATTAGGTAGGCCTTGGCAGTTTGATAGTAAGGCTACTCATGATGGTTTTAGAAATTGTTACAAGGTGCCTTTTAAAGGCAAGATTGTTGTATTAAATCCTCTTAGGCCCATCCAAGCCTATGAAGATCAACTAAAGATTACTCAAGATTACAAGAAAAGGAGAGATCTCCTTGATTGTGGCATGAGTGAGAGAGAAAAGAAAGAGAGTATTACTTTACTTGAAAATCAATCAAAAGAGAGGAAAAAGAGTGGTGAGAAGGTGAGAAAAGAAAAAAATAGAATGGTGGGAGTGAAGGAAAATAGTGAAAAAAAATATTATTGTGTGGGAAAAGTAAGATTCAAGAGGCTTTGATGAGTGAGCAAGCCTTTATTGTAATTTCCAAGAATATTTATTTTTCTACTAATACTTTTGACCCCACTTTGCCTTCTAGTGTTGTCTCTTTGTTGCAGGATTATAGAGATCTATTCCCTGATGAAATTCCTGATGGACTTCCTCCCTTAAGAGCAATTGAGCATAGGATAGATTTCTTGCCTAGAGCTGCTATTCCAAACAAGCCTGCTTATAGGGCTAACCCTGAAGAGACTAAGGAGATCCAGCGCCAAGTAGAGGAATTGATGATGAAAGGCTTTGTGCGTGAGAGCCTTAGCCCTTGTGCTGTCCCTGTTATCTTGGTGCCAAAAAAAGATGAATCTTGGAGGATGTGTGTTGATTGTAGAGCAATTAATAAAATCACTGTAAAGTATCGTTACCCTATCCTTAGACTTGATGATATGCTTGATGAATTGCATGATGCTTCTATCTTTTCTAAAATTGATATTAGAAGTGGTTATCATCAAATTCGTATGAAAGAGGGTGATGAATGGAAAACTGCCTTTAAAACTAAATTTGGATTATATGAATGGTTAGTTATGCCTTTTGGTTTGACTAATGCTCTTAGCACTTTTATGGCATTAATGAATCATGTTTTTAGAAAGTTTATAGGCAAGTTTGTTGTGGTTTACTTTGATGATATTCTGATTTATAGTAAATCTTTGACTGATTATATGAATCATCTTAAAAATGTGTTTGACATCTTGAAGGAATATAAGTTATATGCTAATTTTCAAAAGTGTTTCTTTTGCATGGACTCTGTTATCTTTTTAGGATTTGTTGTTGGATCATAGGGAATTCGTGTAGATGAGGAGAAAGTTAAGGCTATTCGTGAATGGCCAACCCTTAAGAATGCAAGTGAAGTGAGAAGCTTCCATGGCTTAGCAAGCTTCTATAGGAGATTTGTTAGGGATTTCTCTAGCATTGCTGCCCCTCTTAATAAACTTGTTAAGAAGAATGCGACCTTTAAATGGGGTAAAACACAAGAAAGGGCCTTCCAAACCCTAAAGGATAAATTGACTAATGCCCCTTTACTTGTTTTGCCTAATTTCTCTAAAGCATTTAAAATTCAATGTGATGCTTCTGGTATTGGTATAGGTGCTGTTTTAATGCAGGATTCTAAGCCCATAGCTTACTTCAGTGAAAAGCTTCACGGCGCAGCTTTGAATTATTCCACCTATGATAAAGAGCTTTATGCTCTAAAGAGGGCCTTAGAAACATGGCAACATTATTTGTGGCCCAAGGAATTCATCATTCATTCTGATCATGAAAGTTTAAAGTTTCTCAAGTCTCAAGGTAAGTTAAATAAGAGACATGCTCGCTGGATAGAATTTATTAAAACCTTTCCTTATGTGATTAAGCATAAGCAAGGTAAAGAAAATATCGTTGCTGATGCCTTATCTCGAAGGTATACATTACTTTCCTATTTGCATGCTCAATTACTTGGTTTTGAGATTCTAAAAGATCTTTATAAAACTGATCCTGATTTTAAAAATATTTGAAATCTTGTGAAAATCATGGATCTGGTGATTTCTTTAAATTTGATGGATTTCTTTTTAAGAAAAATAAATTATGCATTCCTATTTGTTCTATGCGTGAGTTGCTTACTAAGGAAGCACATAGTGGTGGTTTGATGGGACACTTTGGTGTAGATAAAACTTTGGCTATTTTGTCTGATCATTTCTTTTGGCCTCACATGCGGAAAGATGTCATATCTGTTTGTGATAAATGCATTAAATTTAGACAGGCAAAATCTAAGATCCAACCTCATAGACTTTACTCTCCTTTACCCGTCCCCTCTCACCCTTAGGAACATATCTCTATGGATTTTATAATTGGATTGCCTAAATCTTCTACAGGCAAAGATTCCATATTTGTTGTTGTTGATAGGTTCTCTAAGATGGCACACTTTATTTCTTGTGCTAAGACTAATGATGCTGTTAACATTGCTGACTTATTCTTTAAAGAGATTGTTCGTTTGCATGGTTTACCTAAGACTATTGTGAGTGACAGAGATGTGAAGTTTCTTAGTCATTTCTAGCGTACCCTATGGTATAAATTAAGGACTAAGTTACTTTTTTCCACTACTGTCCATCCACAAACTGATGATCAAATTGAGGTAGTTAACAAAACTATGACTACACTATTAAGAGCAATAATTCAGAAGAATTTGAAGAATTGAGTGAATTGTTTACCTCATATTGAATTTGCTTACAACAGGGCTGTTCATTCTTCTACTTCTTATTCTCCATTTGAAATTTTTTATGGTTTCAATCCATTATCTCCTATTGATATTTTACCTTTGCCTTTCTCTGAGCATGCTAACACTGATGGCAAGAAAAAAGCTAAGTTTGTACAGGACTTACATGCTAAGGTTAAAGCAAATATAGAGCAAAAGAATGAGCAATATGCCAAGCAAGCTAATAAAGGCAGGAGACATGTGATCTTTGAGCCTGGAGATTGGGTTTGGTTACATTTAGGGAAAGAGAGATTTCCTAATCAAAGGAAGTCCAAACTTCAAGCTCGAGGAGATGGACCTTTCCAAGGTTTTGGAAAGAATTAATGATAATACTTACAAGATTGATTTTCCTAGCTCTTATGGCAATGTTAGTGCCACATTTAATGTTTCTGATTTATCTTTATATGATTCTGCAGATTTGAGGACGAATCCTTTCCAACTGGGAGGGAATGATGGACCCTATGGCACGGGTGACATAGTATTAATGGCAACGAAGCTTGAGGATGGTAATCATGAGCATGGTGACATAGAAGGAGTCCAATACTTCCAATCAAACGTACCTAAAGACCCATTACAACATATTGGAGGTCCAATGACAAGAGCCCGAACTAAAGCCATGAAGCAAGCCTTGTTCAGTCTTGTGCAAGAAGTTCAAGAGCTTGGAGAGCATTGGGGCACTCCTCTCAAGCCTAAAGGAGAGCATCTATACGTGTATAATGTATTTAAGATCCAAACTCATGAAGAGTCAAGCCTAAGAGATGCAGACCTTAGCCCAATGCAAGGAAGACTACAAGTTGAGCCTCTTGCAAGTAAGGAGGCATGAAACCCTAGTAAAGAAGTCAAGGGTGGCGTGATTTTAAATTCTTTATGATCCCTTGATTGTCTCCTAAATTATTTCCTATTTTAATGGTCCTTTGATTTAATTTTCTATTTTGAGTCTAGTCAAAGGTTAGAATTAATTATAGTATTAATTTCTAAATTTTGTAATCCCATAATTTTAGGATCACATCTCCTAAATTATGTGGCTAAATATTTTATCATTATTTTATATTATTTCTCATTTTAGTATTAGGAAATTAGGGTTTTAATTTTAGGAAATATTTTTTTCTATGAGCCTATATAAATTAGGCATGCTCCCTATTGTAAACAACACAAAAGTTGAATGAAATTATTCATTTTAGAGTTTATAACTCTAGTGAGCCTTAGTGCTTTGTGGTGGCATCTCGTGTGAGAAACAGACGTGATCAAGAGCGTGATCAACTCTTGTGGTGTCTTCGAAGGTTAAGGTTCCTAGAGGCAGGTGCTCTAGAGGATCTTCGTCTTGATCATTATTCTATTATTTACTTCATACTTTTCTTTATTTCCATCATAAAATTCATCCCTTTCCTTTTGTTCTTGTGTTTTTTGTTGTTTCAGGGTTCTGTCCCTAAACAAGCACGATTCTGCTTCCGCGTCCCCTATCACAACATGTTGATGTGTTAATAGATTGGGCAAAAGCTATTAATCTCCTTGCCTGCTTGAAGATAGTAAATCATCTCTTTAAAGATATAATTATTACGTTAGGATTCTTTTTTGTAACAATAGCTATGTCGATATATTTAGAGAGGTTAATGTGTGTGCCTATTTGCTAGTCACTAATGATCTTAATTTATTAAGATCTTTTAATCAACCTCCACTTTACTGTTAGAAGGTGGTGGATGATTATGAAAGGTGATTCTCTTTCGTGTATTACCCAAAACTAGCAATAATTTTAAAATCGAATTGGATCGGATGGTCAAATTGGTTTGGATTCCAATTCGGTCAATATATAAAAACTATTTTTGAGGTTGATCAACTGAATTCGATTTTCAAGAATCAAATTGTTTAATTTTTTTTACTTTTTATTGATTTTTTTTAGAAAATAATTAATTTTTTTAATTATTTAATATTATATTGTATCATATGATTTGTTATGTCATGGTGAATTTAAAATATTTAATTTTTTTAAACTAAGTAATAATTACATATTTATTTTTTATATTTAAATTATTATATATATATATATAATTTTTTAATTTAATTATTATATTATTAGTTTGACTATTGGTTTAATTCGATTTAATCATGTGAGTTGTAAATTGTTGAATTTTTTGATTTAATATTCAATTCGATTATAAAAACATTGCCTAGAACCTTGATTGATTATTGATATCTTCTTGAATTTAAAAAAAAAAAAAAGCGATAATTGGCATTTCGGACATTTTACAAGCGAGGGAATTTCGGCGTAAAGCGAAGTAAAGAGGTAAACTGATTTAGCCGTTCCACGTGTTGCTACACAGTTGGACCAACAAAAGTGGACGGTGCAGAAACTAGTTGTGGCTGGGGCGGGGGGCTTGTCTAGTGCTCTTGCAGCGCCAGACAAACGCTAATAGTAATACACAGTGTTAGTAACTCTATAAAATACAGGCCAGCAGCGAAGTGTTTGTGTGAGATCGCGAGATGGAGGGAACTGAAATTGATGCAAGAAGTGGATTCTGCAAATCCAACTCCATCTTCTACAATAAACGGAAGCCACTGCCGCTTCCTCAAAAGTACTCACTCGACGTCACCGCTTTCATCTCCTCCCGCGCCCACCACGGCAAGCTTGGTTTCATCGACGCCGCCACTGGCCGCCACTTCACCTTCCACCAACTCTGGCAGGCTGTCGATGCCGTCGCCACCTCTCTCTCTGACATCGGTATTCGAAAGGGCCACGTCGTCCTCCTTCTTTCCCCCAATTCCATTTACTTTCCCGTCGTCTGTCTCGCTGTCATGTCCCTTGGGGCTATCATCACCACCCGCGAAATCTCCAAGAAAATCTCCGATTCCAAGCCTTCCCTTGCCTTCACGATTCGGCCCCTACTAGCCAAAATCACCGCAATTTCAAATGTACCGATCGTTCTCATGGAGGAAGACGAAGGCGCCCCCATCACAGAGCCTAAAATCGTGACCACGCTGGGCGAGATGATGAAGACGGAGCCCCGTGCTAGCCAAGTCAGGGATCGAGTTTACCAAGATGATACTGCGACTTTACTGTATTCGTCTGGTACCACGGGTCCAAGTAAAGGCGTGGTCTCGACGCACCGGAATCTAATGGCAATGGTCCAGATATTTTCGAGTCGACTCAATATGGATAAGGAGGAGACTTTCATATGCATTGTCCCTATGTTCCATATATACGGTCTGGTGGTGTTCGTAACTGGCCTTCTGGCTGCAGGATCGACGACAGTGGTGCTGTCCAAGTACGACATGGACGATATGCTATGGGCGATCCAGCAGTACCGTGTGACGTACCTGCCGCTAGTGCCGCCTATATTGGTGGCGATGATAAATGGGGCGGATGCGATAAAGGCGAAGTACGACTTGGGGTCACTGCATTCGGTGGTGTCGGGTGGGGCTCCACTGAGCAAGGGGGTGATAGAGGGCTTTGTGGACAAGTTCCCGAACGTCACAATTCTCCAGGGTTACGGGTTGACCGAATCCACGGGAGTCGGGGTATCCACGGACTCACTCGAGGAGAGTCGGAGGTACGGTACGGCGGGGCTGTTGTCACCGGGCATGCAGGCCAAGGTCGTTGATCCTGAAACTGGAAAGGCTTTGCCGGCTAATCGGACCGGTGAGCTCTGGCTCAGAGGGCCCACTATCATGAAAGGTGCGCCGTTATTTTATTATTATGATTATAAGTAAGTTTTAAAGAACTGACATACTTCTTATTTTATTTTTTTGGTCTCACGTGAATGGAATCGTTGGTCTTTTATTTATTTTTTAAATCATATTTTTCATAGACTTGGATCTCTAGTCAATATTCTGTAACATAATAATATCGTTGATTGACGAAAGTTATCAATTTTTTGAATAGCGAGACAGGAATAGTGGATTAAGTGGGAGTTGTAATGTTGTAATGTTAAATTTGTGACAGTGAGGGCGTCTTGATGGCAGGTTATTTCAGTAATGAGGAAGCAACCACCTCAACCCTTGATTCAGAGGGATGGTTGAGGACTGGGGATATTTGCTACATTGATGGCGACGGATATATTTTCGTTGTTGATAGGTTGAAAGAGCTTATTAAATACAAGGGATATCAGGTACCCGTCAAAATTCATACAATTTCATTATTTTTTTAAACTACAAGCCACAGTTGAAATCGAGGGAGGTGAAAAGTAATCTCTTATGGCTGCTAAAACCCAAATTTCACTCAAACCAACTTCTTGGTTCGGTTCATTTCTAGTCTGATCGGTATAGTCGTTTAGATATAGGAATTACTCTTGCCTTCGATATCTAGAATGGACATGGTCTCTTAATGTTGTTTCAATTATTCTTGTATTAGGTCCCCCCAGCAGAACTAGAAGCCTTGTTGCTTACTCATCCTGCAATTTCAGATGCAGCTGTCATACCGTAACTCTATCTCCCAATCCAAGAGAACTGTTATTTTTTGAAAAACAAAAGAAAAGAAAATCAATCAGAACAAATATAGTGATTTGGGCTTGCTTTATTCTATCATACGCTTTATATTTTCAGGTTCCCAGATAAGGAGGCTGGGCAGTATCCAATGGCATACGTAGTGAGGAAAAGTGGAAGTCATGTATCTGAAAAGGAAATCATGGATTTTGTGGCAGCACAGGTGAGCCTCCGAATTCTTCTTTATAGTAATATTTATTTATATGCAAACGGACAAATATAGTTTGTAGGTTATCGAATTTGGTCTTAACTCTTAACATTCAGCTTAACTGCCTCCAAGATAAGTGATGGTATAATGATAAGCAAAATGAATGAAAATAATCATGAATGTGGGTCCATTTCTCATGCGGGAAAATGAAGCAAGAATGTAATAATACTTGCCATGAGAATCAGTAGCGTAACAAGTTGATGTGGCTGGTTGAAAAAGGCTGCTCCATACAAAAGAATTCGAAGAGTGGCATTTATTTCTTCAATACCAAAGAACGCATCAGGAAAAATCATCAGGAAGGATCTCATCAAGCTCGCCACATCTAAACTTTGAGGCCTCTGGAGCTTTCGATGTTGATCGTATATGGTGATTTCCTAGCTGGCTCTCTGTTTTACTGGTCATGCTTTTTGTATAACTAGTTTTTTGCCCCGTGCACCTTGTTTTTCTTCGTTTACAAATTTTGTTTTGAAATGGTTTCATGCAGTCATTTGACAACTAAGATAAAATGGCAGACTATAGGAGGTGAGATTTAAATCCTTGTAGAGTGGTAAGCTCAGACTTTGTTATTTTGGGTCGTCTTTCAGAAAAAATGCATGACTGAAAGGGAGGATGATTTTCTAGTGATGTTATAGTCTCTGGAGTTCGACCTCATAATGAGTCGACAAAAAGTCATCTTCCTAAGAAATTAGAATGATATGTTCAGTGTTGAAATGAAATGGAAGTATTTAAGGATTTTGATTTTTACAATTACAACCAAAAAGTTGGATAGCACTAAGTATGATGCAAACCCCGTCCAGATGCTGCATCAATTCATGTACAAAGTGAGTTAATAACCGTGCTGCAACTTGGTCGAATTGACTTGGTAATAAAACTTCAAGATGTAAAAAGTGGATAATACATTATCATGCGCTCCAAAACAAATTTTAAGAGTGACATTATATGAGAGAGGGTCTTACATAGGAGTATTTTCCCCTAAACATTTAGCACAGTGCAGTTGCCTCCATTGAGTGTTGCTTTTCGGGTACAAGTTGGGCATCATTTGCAATGCCAACAAAAAGAGGGCTCAAGCTTCTTTATAATTGCAGTTATAGCTATGGGCATGCTTGTGATAAGTCACGTGTTTAAATATGTGCTTCATTCACCTGAAAGGACAAAATGATGTACTTGTGAAAATAGGCAAACTCATAATAAATGAAATACTATCTTTCACGGCAAATTGAGAATAAACATGAAAAAAAATATTATCTTTTTTCCCATGAAATGGCAAGCAGGAGCTTGAGAAAGTAAGATACACAAATAAGCTAAAGACAAGACATTAACTTAAGACAATGTCATCCTATCATCCCCAAAAAGTGGGGCGCAGCCAGGTGGGAAAAAAAAATTATAATTAACCTGTAATGTTATCAAAGTTTTGCAGAAAACATTTTTAGTAGTAGTTAGTGGTTGATTTTCAAAGTCATGGATGAAAATTTTTAATTCAACCTTATTTTTAACTCTGGATAAGGCAACATAAAATTGTTCATGAGTAAAAAGTAGAGTGGATAAAAATAATCCAACATAATCTAATAATTAACCTTGATTTTTATTGATGGTCATGGCAAAAGATATAATCCAACATGGAATTGTCTCTTTTTCAATCTAAATGGCAAGCATGACTTCGAAGAAGTCATATTGATCTTGTGAATCCAAGCTTTGTCACCCACAGTTGATCCGTTCAACACCCTTCCTTCAATGATGCGATCATCCAAATGCTCAATAATCAATTGAGTGCAATTAAAATTAGTCAACATTTCTAATAAGCATTATAGGCATCCCAACTTTTAAAATTAGTCTGTGAGGGGGAAGACTTGAACCATCAATGCTATTAAGGAACTCTTTAGTATGCGATTGATCAAAGGAATCATTATGGTAAGAGCACAAAGCAATTGATTCTGAACTAAGATATTCTATAGCATCTCCAAGAAAAATTGAGCATATGTAATTATTTAATTTGTTAACCACATCTGGTGAATTATAAAATTATTAATTTATAATTTATAAGTTTATATGTGTGTTTATTATTGTTATTTAATTATTATGTCACAGTTTCTATGCCTTACTTTTCAGGTTTAACATCCAGTTGGTTTTCTAAACATTCATATATTGCACTTGTAAATTTAGGGAGAACCACTTATGATTTTTCATAAATCCATTGGCCTTTCTAAAATTCACAAAAAACAAAAAATGTCCTTAAATTCACAAGAAGCAATATATAAATTCATCAGACAAAGGGTAAATTCACAATAAATTTTACTTAAATTCTTAAGTCACATTCCGGGAACTTTTAGTCGAATGAATAATGCTTCTTTCCTCTCCCACCCCCTAATCATTTTATGGAAAATATTAAAAAAAATTCTTTAAAATAAGATTTTCTGGTTAAAAAGTTTGTTTAATCATCAACTGAATCCTCTCCTATCAAAACCATTATATCTCCTTGTGAAGCTTGAAATCTTCTTATATAAAATATAGGAATATACTTATTATTTTGACCCATTATATTTTTATCAATTAAAAATTAATTAACCAGTAAACTTAAATGGTATCTTTAGATAACTATTGATAATAGAGATGTTGAATTGATCGATACATGGGGTTGCATGCTTGCAAAATTAGATCGAAAAGGTAAATTCCTCACTGGATTGGGTTTTATAGAATTTGTATTGAAACAAATTGCTTGGAGCTTTTTGGGCTATTTATAAACTTTTCAAACAGGATATGACCAAAAAAAGAAACTTTTCAAATTTCATTGGCATATGCATGAGTGTGTATATATATCATAAATATTAATTGGATGAAATTTTATGTCGTTTAGGATTTGGAAAACAAGACAATAAAACTTTGAGATGATTGTGGAAACAAGCAAAAGGATCATTTATATAAAAGAAATATATTGCCACATGCACGAACGCTTATTCTCAAATAAGGTACTAGCATTGCAAATAAATATCTTTAGATTACGATGAATAACTGATCTACATGAAGAGATATAAACTAACAAAAACCTATAGAATCCTAATTCTAAAGGCAGAAAATCATAAAGGCTGCTCAACGACTATTTATCTCAATGTCGATGGAATAATCATCTTATTTACTTATATTTGCAGAATAATCATTCTTGGGCGGTGGCCATGAAGGATTCCCAACAGAATGAGATTCTAATGAAGTTAAACCTTTTGAAGAATCCTTTTCAATAGAGTTGACATCTTTTGAAGTTAAACTTTTTGAAGAACTCTTTTTGATAGAATCGACATTGTTTAAAATTAAACCACTTGGAGATCTCCCTTGTAAACCAAATCGACGCACGTGTTCAAAATACAAAAATCCGTTAAACATCTTGAAATAGAGTTTGAGAAAACTTGTGTGCTTAGAGTAACTAAATGATGGTTACAAATGAAAAGGGATGGGGTATTTATAGACTTTTCCTTATATCTAACTTAATTGATATCTCCAAAAGATATGATATGTTATTTTGTATTAAAAATAGAATCTCAACAAAATAAGAGATAATACTAATTATCCAAAATGATTAAGTTAAATTTTAAGATTTTAAAAGGTTATACATTGGTTCAGCCATGTCTAATAGTAATGGCCAGCTAAAGATATTTACGAATTTTAGGTAAAATAAAAAGATAGTTAACGTATTTTGGGGGAAATTAAGCATATGTCTTACAGAATTATAAAAAAATGGTTAATATGTTGCGGGCCCTCAGTTGTAATTTAAATATCTATTACCTTTATTAATGCGGGATCGCCATCTCTACAGTAAATGAACAGTGCTTTATCTGTGGCCTTTTTTTTTTTTTGTGGTCAGAACTCCATCTATTGTCTTCGTTAACTGCGTGTTCCAAGTCATGTGTTCCAGCCTCCATCTATTATACTATTATAATTACAATAATATTATGATGTGAGAGATAGAGATTCAAATATTATAGTATTAATATTCTTATAATATTTGGTGGCCCTGTTGTTTGTTTTTTCTTCATCACAATCAATATTATATATTTTATTCGTAATGTAACTACTATAACACAGAAAAAGATGGAGAAAGGGTCGGACAGTCTTGCGTAGACGGGACAGATTAAATGAGAAGGTTGGTGGGTCAACTGGCGGGATTTCATTTCACCAATCTATCTATACTTAATATAAATTTGGGATCTTCCGGTGCACAGTGCATGAACAGTATGACCCCACGTGAGCTGCCCTTTTGCCCGTTTCATTACATTTCGTTGCCACATGAGGAGTTTTTTGAAGCAGCTGGGGTTGGCGGTGGGGTAAATTGGTGGGATCTCATCGTATTTGAACTCTTCGTGGGTGGGGTTGGCGGTGCGTGCCATTTAAGCGTGAGTTTGCTAGTTTTTTCCACTTGCTGGGCTCAAAAGGGTTTTTCGATCGCTCCTGTTGCTCTACTGGGTGGTGTTTGTTTGGTTTTTTTTCACCTTTAGTTGAAGTTAGCTTTCAATGTCGGAGATTTCAATCGGCAGCCGTGATTCTCCATAGTATCGTCATGGTTGATTGTTATTATTGGAAGTTCTGATGGTGGTTTCTTGAAGTTGTGTTGAAGTCTTGACCATTCATTCTAATTCTAATTCTAATCCGAGAATTTTTCAAGTTCGCAGAACGGACCGCCTCAACTGCCCCTCATTCGTCCTCGTCCTCGTCCTCGTCATCCCTGTCGCTACCGCTGTGACCATCTTATCTCGGGGTCTCGCTCTTTCCGCCTTGCCCTGGATCTCCACTGCCAATCATCGACGCTATTCTTAGGATTTGGAAGAAATTCTCCATTTCCTGCCTCTATAGTTTTCCATTAACGTTCTTTGCCTCTCCAGTCTTCATTCCCAGCGTGGCCATGAATCTTCATCATCCAGTCATCTTATTGCGGTGCTCAATTCAAATTTGGATAAGCTTTCCTCCATCTATTTTCGGGTTCGTGTAAAGTCTTTGATGTAGCACCATGTGACTGAATATGGAGAAAGTGGATAGTAAGCAAGCAGGGGTTGGTGGTGAAGGAGTTTTATGAGTTTTACCCATGCACTAAGTTTGCTCACACCACTTCCCTACTTTTTAGGAGTCCTAGAAGTATCTTTTCATTTACTTAATTGTTTATTTCTCCATTATGAATAGGGCAGTATCTATGGAGGTCGTAGACAAGCATTTTTTATGTTTATTGTGTTTTGGAGGTTCTCCTTGGCTGTTAGATCTGGAAGAGTGAGGTTCTTGCACGACCTTTACTAGTAGATTATTTTCTCTTATTCTATTGGAGCTACAAATGTTTCCATATTCTAGCATTACTTTCTTCAATAGAACTTCTAATTCACCTCTAGAAATCAGATTCTATCAGTTTGTTTTTGTTTATATTTGCCATTATATCTGAGTTCTTTTTTCATAATTTTGAGAATTGTTGTGTTTTATGACATAAGTGAGACCCTTAATGTCATGTCAGGTTTTGATTGATGATGGAACAAACATTTTTGGAGACAATAATTGTAGTTATTTCATTATAATTGCATGTTTGTTGAGTGGTTCAAAGACAACAACAAAGATTATAATTAATGCACAGAATTAGCCATAATCTACTCACATTTTTCACCTTGAACTTATGATTGATCCATGGAATGGTATAATCTTGGGTTACATGGTTTTTTTTAACTAGATTGGTCACATATTAATATCTAGAGTAAATCCAAGTCAATCGA